GTAGGTAGAGGAGCTTTTTAGGAATAGCTCCAGGTAGAAGCAGGCTTCCAAAAAGTACAGCCTCCTCGCGACAGTTGGTTTATACCTGAATTGACTGTTGCTTTGTGTGCTTTACTACCGCTTGCTACCGTACGTTCAGATCTGAATTCGAAGTGTATTGGTAACAGCGACACACGAACGAATGAAAGCTGTATTAGAACAGTCGCATCTATACCCGCTTTGCTAAAATCATCGTGCTTGGAACGTAGTGAACCGAATGGGCTGTATTTATGCATTTCTTTATGACCAGGTTCTCAATGTTTCTGTCGTCATAACAGCCTTCACAAACCGACGACATCCCTCAGCTTACCCAAGTGGCTGTCACGAAAAGGCTGTCACGAGACATTATATACAATTGATATACGGCAGTGGAGTATGGAAGAAACCCAGAAGAATGATCCCGAACAGATATGTCGGCCCGATGTCGGATCAATGTAAGGTCAATTTATGGTCGACATCGGCCAAATGTCGGGTCGATGTCGGGTCAATTCTGTGTTTATGTTGGGTCAATGTCGGGCCAACATCGGGTTGGGGTTTGGTAGAAGTCAGGTTGGTGTCGGGTAGGCTTATATTTTTCGCCGGAGACCGTGCGTTTAAAAAAAAAATATCGGATGAAAATTTTGCAATGGGCAGCACGAACGTGATAGCAACCGAACGAGCTCCGGCGCCACACTGGTAGTGTAGTAGCAGTCTTACGACACACAAACAAAATATCAAAGACAGCAGCAACGAATCGGCAGTTTGACGGACTGCTTGTTGTATGTACGAGGAAAGTTACGAATGACCATCCGAGGCTGTCATAGCCGAACGAACAAAATACATGACTAAGAACAAGCTGTCGTGAACAGCACAAGACGGCAACGTTGCATGTCGTATAACAGCCTCACTGTGGGCTGTCGCTTATAGCTCAATCTCAAGGCTGTCGTAGGGAAAAGAAAGCGACAGCCGTTGGAATACTGTCATGAGGCGGTACTTTTGGTATGCCTGGGTAGAAGTGAGCTGCAAAGACGTCGCAAGCATTAACATGTGTATTTTTGTGTTTTTACTGCTATATTGCACTGAATTTTCAGACAGCATTCCAAAAATATAACTCAATTATGGCACTAAAACAGCATCCACATGACGATCGAAATAAATCGCGCACTTTTGGCCACATTGTGTTAACTACACTTGAAAATTAGAGGAATGTTTTACTGTCACCAGTTGTTGTTTATAATTCTGGATTGCTGTATAATACTCTTCCGGTTGCTGTTATTCAACTTAAATTTGACGTGTTTCAAGTTTATGATCATACATTTTTCCACACATATGCTTAAGTGGTTCAGTAGGTATGATTGATGCCTGTGAATCAGCGACTGCCAGTTCGAATCCCAAAATGCAAAGATAATTTTTAGACTTATAATAACAATATAAATATGTAGATCAAATTAGTTAGGCAGCACCTTGTTGCGGTCCCATACAAAATATATATAAGATATGTCTGCAATTTTTTTTTCTTAATAAAACTAGAAGGCTGAACAAGGGTTGGAAAAGACTGTTAATTAATGCCTTAAAAAGCTGATAATTTATATAACTGCAAAAAAAATATAAGATATGAAGCGGTCTTCCATTATATTTTTTTTAAATAAAAAATTAAGGCTGAACAAGGGTTGGAAAAGACTGTTGGTTAATGCATTGAAAAGCTTATAATGTAGATTGTTGTTAAGCTTTGGGCGGATTGAAATCACCAGATTCAGATGTTTAAAAGCTGAACAAAGGTTAAAGTGGTCTATGTACAACAATTATTAACACTAAGCCTGAATTAAAATCGTTGAAAGAACACTTGTTAAGCATCAATTTGTTACATGTTAAGCTTTTGGCTGATTAAAATCACCAGATTTAGATGTTTAACAGCTGAACAAATGTTAACGTGATTTATGTACAACAATTATTCAAACTAAGGCTGAATTAAAATCGATTGAACCCCAAGTAACAATTCAAGCTGAATTGTAAGAACAAAGGTTGATTATTGGTTGATTTAAGGTGTACGAAGCTGATTAACACCAGGCTGAACATACAGTTGATTAGTAGTGCATGTAGCGAATTGTATCCCCATAATTCAACCTCAGTAAGTTAGCTGATATAAAGACTGAACAAGACTTATTTAAGCTTAATACTACTCCACAAACCAGCAATACGCTACAAATATTCTGATAGCTTGATAGAATAATATGAATTTATTGCACAATATTGTTAAATGTCGTCAGTTGCATTTCCGACATTTTAGTTATTCTAAATTCACTGCCTACCTTTCTAATCCCAAGCAGCACCAGCAGTAGAGACAATTGATAAGGAAGAGGAGCTTTTTAAGAATAGTTCCACCTAGAAGTGGACTGCGACGACGTCGGAAGTATTAACATTAGTATTCCTGTGTTTTGTCTGTTCACCACTTTATATTGCACTTAATTTTCATACCGCATTTCAAAAATAGAATTCAATAATAGCACTAAAATAGCTTCGAAATACATCGCGCACTTGTGTCCACATTGTGTTTACTGCACTTGAAATGAGAGGAATGTTTTACTGTCACAATTTATTGTTTATAATTCGGCATTGCTGTATAATGATCATGTTAATGATCATACCTTCTGCCTCAAACATGCTTATGTGGTCGAGTGGGTATAGTTGACGCCTGTGAATCAGCGACTGCCGGTTCGAATCCCGAAATGTAAAGGTAATTTTTAGACATATAATAACAATATAAATATGTAAATCCAATTAGTCAGCAACATTCTAAAGCAGTCTCATAAAAAAAATATAAGATATGAAGCGGTCTTCCATTATATTTTTTTTTAAATAAAAAATTAAGGCTGAACAAGGGTTGGAAAAGACTGTTGGTTAATGCATTGAAAAGCTTATAATTTAGATTTTTGTTAAGCTTTGGGCTGATTAAAATCACCAGATTTAGATGTTTAAAAGCTGAACAAAGGTTAAAGTGGTCTATGTACAACAATTATTAACACTAAGCCTGAATTAAAATCGTTGAAAGAACACTTGTTAAGCATCAATTTGTTACCTGGGACAACACTTTTTAAGGATCAAATTGTTACCTGGGTCAGCCACGGTTGTCAACATTTAACTTCTTGTCTGTCAGAAATAACCACGCTCGGATAGCAGGGTTAATCGATAACTTTCCTTCTGTCAAATATTAACCAAAAGTTAAAATAATCCACCAAATGGTTCAGAGCCTTACTAGGAACTTTTTAAGCGTCTTCTCGAATGACTCCCCATCACAAGCAGAAATTGAGCGAGCCGTCCGTGATGTGCCAACCGATGTAGTAAACATGGATGTTTTACCGTAGATGTACAAATGGTTCTCTCTGAGATGAGTAAAACCAAGTCATCATTTTCATCAGGTCCGAGCGTTATTTCATCTGCTGTTCTGAAAAAAAAAAATGCTCCGATATCTTAGCTGCTCCGTTGTCCTTGCTTTTCAACCTGTCACTTCGTCAACAGAAATTTCGCGCACTATGGAAACGCTCTACTATGTTCCCTGTTTTCAAGAAAGGAGGCAAACGCAATGTGGAAAACTATCTTGGGATTACTGGACCACTGCTCTTCTCTTTATTTGTGAACGATGTAACGTTTATGCTACTACGTGGAGGTGAATTGTTTTTTGCCGATGACTCGAAGATTTACCTAGTCGTTCGAGGCTATGCTGCCTGTTAGAACTACAAAACCTTCTTGAAATCTTTAATGATTGGTGTGAACGTAATTTTATGGTCCTGTGCATCAGAAACTGCTACGTAATTAGTTTCCATCGAACAAAGACTGCCGTTTTGTTTGATCATAACGTTGCTGGGACTGCAGTTCAACGTGACGATCACGTTAAACACCTCGGTGTTGTGTTGGATGAAAAGCTCACATACACTCGCCACTTCTCAACCACTATCGTCAGTTTGGATTCATGTTTAAGATTTCTAAGGTACTTCGTGATCCTCTGTAAAGCCCTTTACTGTTCATTGGAACGCTCACTACTGGAATTTGCGTGTGTTGTCTGGAATCCCTACCAAGCAGTATGGAGTGGACGATTCGAAGCTGTTCGACACAAATTCGTCAGATACGCACTGCGCTATCTTCTTTGGAGTGACCCGCTGAATTTACCCCGTATGCTGACCGCTGTCGTGTACTGGGTTTGGATACTCTTGCTAAGCGACGAAACATATCGCAGGTCGTCTTCGTTACTCAAGTCTTGCTCGCAGAATTTTATGTTCCTACATTTAGATTTAAGTCTTTCATTGAGACTACCAAGTCAGTTGGACTATAATAATAATAAAATATTTATTCATAAACTCTCTTAATCGATGCTTACATACTGGTTATTACATAAAAGGGAAAAAGACAGAGACAGATAGAGGTGCCTGGTAACGCGTTTATATATTTCGACGCTATTGAAGGCGATCACCCATCGTGGGTAATAGCTGAGGATAGTGTAATTTGAGAAAAAGCAAATGTACATGGGAACTTGCATCGTTGTCAATTGCACCACAGGCAATTGAGCTTGGGTATTCTTATCAACGTTGCAAGACCTTGAGTGTGGAAAATGAAATGATTTAATTGACAAATTGTATGACTGTATTGGACAAATTTCAAAACATTGCTTCCCTTAGCTGTAGCAATTTAAAGAGAAAATGAATGAAGAGAATCGATCATCGCAGTTAGGCCCTTATGCATGCTGACTGTTGAATTACTTAACCACTGCATCACCTACAATCCACCAACCACTCTCAGCTTTCAGTCACTCACTTTTCCACTTTGGGGGCCGAGAGCTTATTCGCTTCCACATTATGTACCTACATTGCATAGGTTGATATCGCTGAGCACGGCGCAGGTTTTTCAAGTCTCGCGCGCACTCGCTCCAAGCCAAGCTCCAAACTCACAGAGTAAGCTTGGGCTCCCACTCGCCTGCATTGAGTCATGTTGATTTAGTCGCTTTGCAACTCTCTTGCCGAGTGTGCGTCCTTCTTCGATCTTGTGCTGTTTGAATGTGGCAGAATCTTGTGCTTCTTATTTCCCATTCTTTCTTCTCAATGTCCGGTCCGCCCGCGATCGTCGCCAAAGTCTTCGCCGCCGTCGCCGTTGCCGCTGTCGTCATCGATCGTCATCCATAGTGTTTAGTTCTGCAGTCATTTCTGTGCCGATTGGGGATTTTAGTGTATATACTTGCTTGTTTGCAGGATTTTGGTGTATTTCAGTACTAGAGGATCGTAAGTCCTATTGCGATTGCGCGCATTTTTTTTTTCTTTCTTGTCGGTGTCTTTTTGGACGACCCTTGAAACCGAGATCTTTCGCTGAAGATTTCGTGTTTGTGAGCTGTGCAAAAACGCCTCCAGATTTTCGGCTTTGGATGGTGGATTTTTTTTTCTTCTGGTCAGAGTGAGTTCACGGAGAATAATTATTTTTAGTGGTTCGCTTGCTCTTTTTTTGCTAACACAGAACCCGGTGATTTTCGTCGGGGTTGTGACAGTTTGTAAGTGTCATTCAAAAGGAGTGTTTTTTTTTAGTTTGAAACGTGTTATATTTTGACGAATTTTGTGCTTTGATTGTAACGGGAAAAGTCAGCGAAAGAGCGAAACGACCATCACCGAAAGAAACCTTCGAATGTCATGACACATTGAAATTTTTGAAAACAGGCCGACTGAAAGTAAAATATACTTCAGTGTCAACTATATCAACGGAGGATTGCCGACGTAACGTGATATTTACGATTTAGTGATAGTAATAAAAATCGTAAACAGTGCGCCGTGTGATCAAAGCAGATTACTTAACGAGCGGAAACTTGACGAAACTGTGACCATCTAAAGAATCCAGCAAGGTAGTAAATCAGCATTTTTCTCCAATCTACTAATACATGAGGGGTACACGGGGTTCCACTAGTTCCACTTCCGAAATTGGAAGGTGATCAACGAAACGGATCGTGTGTGTTTTTTGATATAAATCACTTCTAACACACATACAGACGGCGAGAGCGCGTGGAACTCATTTCTCATACAATTTTGACAGTCGTCTGGTGTCAAAAATGGAATGTTGTTCTGCGCAACTCCACGACCGCGAAAGGGATGATGGGTGGGTGGTGAGCAGGTGAGCCAACGCAATTTTTCGTTTTTCGGCAATGCTCATTTAGCTTGGGCCGCCACCATCGTCACTTTGCTGCTCGAGATGTGCGCGAGGTATGAAGCCAGGGTAGATTACGTTACGTGAATGGTATATACAAAAAAAAAAAGACTCTGTGTTGTAGGTATACACATTCAACCAGCTTCTCGCGCATTCATAATGAAACAGCGCGTTTTGGTTCAATGCTAAATCAAAATACAAACAAACCGTGCGTAATCTTGAGAAAGTACGGCAACGGGAGGAGATCAGCAGGAGGGACAGAGAGAGAGAGAAAGAGAGTGAGAGTATAAAAATCCTGATGCTGAGTGCAGTGAGAGAGTGAGAGTTGGAGAGAGTTTGCATAGATGCACAGCTATAAATACAATGTGCACTCATGTGTGATTCCGCATTGATTTTTTATGACTATTATTGTGGTAGCCCAAATGGTGTCAAAGGAATTTTCATGTTAGTTTTAATGCATATTTTAATTCAAATTCTCAATTAAATGTGGCAGTAGCATGGGAGCTCTATTTTTATACTAACGATATTTTAATTTTATAACAATATAATAATTCAGTGTTTGAAAAGTTCGCCATAACTCAGTATGACTCGCAACTTTTGCCCTTGGTGCACTTTGTGAAATATTGCGAACAATTTCTAACGCTGCTGGATACTATACTAAAACGCTGCCAGACTGGAGAGTTATAACATGTTATAACGGTTGTCAAATAATTGCAACACAGAAACCACCATCAAGATAGCGCTATAACATGTTATATCTCTGTAGTCTGAACAAGGCATAAACACACTAAACAGGATTATTCAATGTACACACAATACATTAATTTCTGTTCACACTCTTCTGGAACCGGATTGGCATCGGGATTATTGTTTTTTTATTTAATTATTTTTTTCTTTGTTTTTTTAGTAAATTTAGTAATAGCCTACATTATTTCACATTTATTTATCAACTTAAACAACGTAAGAAATAGTTTCATGTTAATGTAATGTGGTTTCGAACTTTTTCTTTGATTGATCTTATTAGTCATAAAATAAAGACTAGGATCGAAAAAAAAAAAGTCAGAGGTTGTATCCAAGACACGACCGTAGATTTGACGTAGGATTATGAAAGGTAGTTTTAATGTCACAGCAAAAGTATAGTAATTATTAACTTGTTATCAGTTAAAAGTTCGATAGGTTGAAATTCGGAAGCAATTATAAGAAAAAAAATTGAGAGTTATGTTTTCGAGGTGCTCTGTCGGTGTGCATTAGAATGATGCAAAATTTGAAAATTTCACTTCACGGTGCTCAAACGGTTCCAAATCGGCTGATTAGCCTCCCAAAATTTGAACTCATTTGGTAACAACTGACTTAGCACAAACCATTTGAAGTTATGGGAAATACTACGGGAAAATCAAACTTTTTGTTCATGGTTTTCTAGTTTTTTTTCCATATTGCACTGATAAAAAGTTCTATTCTTATGATTAATTTTCGCAGCTAAAACTTTGCAGAAGATCGTTTTTCAATTAAACGTAAAGATAAACAGTTATTAATTGTTTAGGAAATCTATAATCTAATGGCATGATCATGCAGCTGTTTTGTGGGCAACACTGTATTCTGCAGTGTGACATAGTTGTCACGATTGTTGTGCTCTACACGCTATTCTCAAGCTACCTAGTGACTGGGTATATTGCACCCATTCTTGCATGACGTATGGAGTAGTCAAAATATGGGTAAACCAGTTTTCTCGACATGAGTAGAATCTACCCAAATTCTGGATAATTGCGTCTCATAAAAAATCATACAGTGGAAATGGCGCGGCGTTGAAAGGTTGACTTTTGCATAGGAATGCTGGCAGAGGAAATACTTGTTGGGAGACATGTTCAGTGGACACAAGTAATTAATGATACATTTTTAAGTTATAACAACCATCAATTTCAAACATTATAATTTTTAAGGATCTCAAACATCACCTGGACAACACGTATGAGGAACCACACATCGTGTGTAAAGCACCTATATTCAAATCTGGATCGTACAGCATTGTATTTGATAAGGTGGTGCTTTCCACCAGCGAATCTTTCATCGATACACTCGACTTGTTTTGGAAATGTTTTCAAGTCTTCGGTGGAAGGGTACCCATCAAGTTCCAAATGTATCATGACGTTTCCTCAATTTTAATTTACAAAACCCAAGCAAACTGTTCCCGAAAGTGTGTAAACGACGTTTGTTCCGTTTTGAAAGAGGCTATTCAAGCCGAGATTCAAGCTGAAGGATCTTAAAATCGAGCTTAAACTCGTTGAAATTTCTGTTGTTTAAATAAATAAGTTTTGATATAGGGTTAACTACCCCATTTCCGGCCTTTTAAGCACAACCCGCACTTAGTATTTCTTAATCTAGCGCAGTTTAGCAGCAAACGGAATGTTATTATTACTGATGGCTTCCAAATTTATTTACTTTTCCGTACCGTACCGTAAGATTTGATAAAGAGAAACCAATCGTTGAGATATTGTCAAAAGTCTAACACTGCTTCTTGACGCCAAACTCGGCCTATGGATTCTAAACTCGGCCTAACGCATTGAAACGCCATTGAAACGCCATTGAAACGCCAATGAATTGACTTCGGCCTATCGAATGAAGATAAAAATTGATTCGGTCGGAGCGCTTCTTTTGTTTTTTGGGAATAATGGGTGCAAACCTTCATATCACGCGTTCTCATTGACTTCGTTCGCTAACTTATTAATTAAAGTATCGTACCAAACGCATAATTGACTTGTTAACTCTGAAATCATGGATTTATTTGAAGTTTTCTGCTCGATAGACCCAAAATGGGCGATTAGGCCGAAGTACCGTTCCAATTCAAATTTCGGACGATTCAAATTTCGGACACTTTCATTTTTAATTAAATATTACATCCAGTTAGAAACAAAGTAATAATGGTAGATGATCGTGGAGGGCACTAGTCAAAAAAATTTAAAATTTACAAGACATGTGGATCATATTCGACCGAGATAATCAACTTTTAAAAGTGTCCGAAATTCGAGTTTAAGTGTCCGAAATTTGAATCGGCACGGTAGTTCTCTACCCTACTCGTAAATTGCTTCTTTTTTTCTCTTTGTCTAGTTAAAGAAATTATTTGCACATGTATTTTAAAGGTTTTCATCGGTTGCACATAATCCTTCTATCAAAATAGGTAAAGTCTAACCAGATAACAAATGTGAACATCTGGGTAAACTTAACCCAGATTTCTTCGCAAGCTCGTTTACCCAAATTTGTGTAAATATTGGTTTACCCATTTTTGGGTAGTTTCATAATAGCGTGTATTCTACGCTCCAGAAACACCAATGCACCATTGCAATGTTGCCTGCTGAGCATTTGATTGAGCAGAATCATAAGACATCAGCGACTTGAATCATACATAACTTTTGTTCTTTACATTTTATCTAAAAAGTGGTCTTGGGCAAAGTTGTAGCTGAGAAAATTTACAACAAGCACAGTTATAATTTTTCATAACAAAGTTATATGGCTAGTTGTTAGATAGTTATGAACAAAATATTTGGTTTTCTCATAGTAATTTCCATATAAACTTGGTATGGTTTGTGCCCTGTCAGTTTTTTACTAAAAGAGTTTGAATTTTGGCAGGCTATTCAGGACCCGATTTGGATCGGGTATTGAACTCTTTAGTTAACTCTTTTATCAGTCATTGCATTGTGTAGCCAAATGCTGCGACATGACTATATCGATAAACTCGGAAACATTTTCTGAAATATCACTTACTTCGCACTACAAGTGTAGAAATTTGAAGAGATTGAACTGCTCATTAATTCGGTATTCGGAAATGAAATATGTATTAGGGAAAACACCTCAATCACAGAATCTGAGCATACCGGACGGTACCTACGTTATAGCTCTTTGATGCAAATTTTAAGCCCATTAAGAGAATTCGGAAGGTTTTATTTTTGCAAAATTCTATTAATAGTAATGGTTTAAAATTTGCCTCAAAAGGCATGAAATAAGTACCGTATGGTATGCTCAGTGCTCGGTATCAATGTTCGGCGCCTGTGTTAGAGAAACCCCTTTTTCCCATCACGGAAACGCCTTGTTTTCTGATGACTGAATTACGTAGGCGTAATGTTGGCCTATGCATCTAAGATTGGGCCCATCGCTAAAAATCAGCTATTTATCAATTTTATCTAGATGAACCCGTCATTGGGACGGTACTTATCGATATTTTTGGTCGCTATTGAAAATTTAGTCGATTGCTGAATTGATGTATGGGCCCAAATTAGGGGCACTTAGGCCGATATTACATTCATTTCCCTATTTTCGTGCATAAAACGCACGGAATTTTTGATTTATTCAATGGATAGTAAAATATCAAAAATGATTAAAAGAATTTATTGCTAAAATTTTTTGAACCGCGAGATTTTTTCTTTTTTTCTAGCGTCCTTACCTTAATTCAAAGGGTTTCTGGTTAATTTACATGGTCATGTGGTATTCGGTCATTGCGAGAATTTGTATGTACCACTTCAATACTTGACGCATTTGACCACAAACGTTTTGTTACTGCTTACATTATCAAATAGCTTTGGGGGTTATGTGGCTGGCATCAAGGCGAGCGAACGTGCAATGGAAATTAACTCTTTAACACATTTATGGTGGTCTTGAAAATGACCGTTTTGTCGTGATGGTTGAGTAATGCTGATCTATTAGGGAGATCAACACAGATGAGGCTGGTGAGCTGTATGTTGTTTGGAACGAAAGTGACGTGCTTGGCAAAGATGGCCCACAGCGACTCCCGAAGAGCTATTAATTCCGCTCAGTTGCGGTGCGGCTTCTTCCTCCTTCTTCGGTGAATGGACGCTCATGTGATCTGCAGCTCGCTGCTTGCGGGCAGTCTTTCGTTGTGTACTGGAAAACAATGTTCAACGCCACGCGCCGAAAACACTGCTGTTGCTGCATGGCGATCAACCTACCGGACACCACCACACACGGTGATTGAATACCGTTCAGTGAAACTGGATGGAATTCGATTTAAAAATCTACGCTAGATTAAGAAAGTCTAAGTGCGAGTTGTGCTTAATAGGCCGAGAATGGGGTAGTTAATCTTAAAATCATATTAAGTATCAGTGTTGTGAGTCCAATATACCGTATTAATTTGGAAAATAGTTTAAAATTTTGTTTTTTTTTTATGAGAAATTTTAAAAGTGAATGCAAATTTTTAAAAGCAGAATGTTGAACTGTAGTATGAAGATCTTTGTTAGATCTAAATCATGAGAATTGGGTTCAGCCAGTTCATGTTAGTCTTTCAAAATCAATCGATCTTATCATAAGGGGGGGTAAGTATGCAAAATCATTTTTTACAGCAAAACATTGATCGCAAGGGTTTAGGCACAGACAAACAGACGTAACTCTTCATTGTGTATCTTCGTTCACGCATTTAACGGTTGATTTGAATATAATCAGTTCCACGAACTACTCGCCGCAGCGCTGGCATCGGATCACTTTGACGTTTCTATACATTCTATAGAACTTTTATGCAATATTGTTTGCGAGTTAGCGAGCAAGCTTGTTTTCCGCGAGAAGCCTGAAAGATGTCGCTACTAAGGTCCTATGTGTTGAGATACGGCAGCCCTAAGTATGTACCTTTAGAATTGATAAAACGATCCATAAAATATTGGAAAACGTTCCATTAAAAACATTCAAATGATCCATAAAACATCATAGAAAATCCCTAAAAAAGTGTGGACGATCCATAAAAAATATCAAAATTATCAATATTTTATGTTAAATTTAGCAACACAATTGTAAAAATGTACCGCTAAATTTTTAAATAATGATCATTGGAATTGTACGAATTACCCGTACTCATATTGCATTTGATCCATAAAACATTCAGCAATGAACCTTAAACTAAAGAAAGTGATCCATAAAAAATCAAGTTTGCACACTTAAAAATATAGGCATGATCCATAAATTAGACGTATATTATTTATGCTTAGGACATTATTTTTTAAATTTTGATCCATAAACCTTGAATAAATGCTCCACTGCTTATCAACTTAGATTTACTGTCCTGCCCGTTTATTTAAGGTAGAGGTGCAAAGCGACGAGCAAGCGTCTAGTATTAGCTTCCAAAAGAAGATTCTATAATAATATTCTTAAGAAGCATCATTTAGAAACTTCTTTAAGAAGCTTATTCTAGACGCTCACCCATCGTTCCACTCTTCGGACAAAGAAAAAAACACGGGCAGAACAGTAAACCTGAGTAGCTACGCAGTAATGAAGCAATTTTCCAAGGTTTATGGATCAAATTAAAAAAAAAGGGTCCAAAACATGAAAAACATATGCATATCCCATAGACTATAACACACCATAATAAGAACGTCTACCATTAACTGGAACACCTACCATAGGTATGATCCATAAAATTAATATTTATTTTTAATATTTTCTTAAGAAGATTATGATAGAAGCTTCTAATTATAAACGCTTGACCATCACTCCACACCTCTACCTTAAAAAATACGGCAGGACAGTAAATCTAAGTAGTTAATACAGCAATTAATTTTCAAAATTAATAATATAGTGTCCAAACCGTGAATAATATACGTCTAATTTATGGATCATGGCTGTTCGGAATATTGGGATAACCCTGTACCGCCAAGCCCAGTGACAACCCTGTGGGAGATTCGGAGAGCTACGTTAAAGGTCACTGTCAGAAATGAAAGACGTCAGGTTTGGTTCAACGGAACTGTGAACTAACAGCTCTATATTTGCTTAATCTAGATACTGCAATTTGATCCTAAAATCTGGTAACCTACAATTTGTTCCTAAACGCTATATACTTGATTTACCCTAAGTAAAGCTCATTCTACATCGTTAACTAAAATAAAAATTGAATCCTAAATCTAGCCAAATCTTTGTTGAAAAAGTGACGGAAGATAACTCTCGGTTTGAAAAATCTCCCGTTCAGCCTCCTATCGCTTTTCATGGAGGAATTTCTCTACCTCCAGCGCTTTCTCCTTTGCGCTTTTCTCCTGCTGGAACTGGTCTAGGGATTCCTCCAGGTTGACCTCATTGGTACTTTCTTTTCCAGATTCAGATCCGGCATCATACCTCGCACTATTCTTTCTGCTAGGTGGTTTCTATGGGACAGACTTCTTGGTTCCTTTCGGCACCTTCAGCATATTTGTGCACTTCGAGCACGTCTACGGAACCTCGTTTACAGATGTTGTCTTACCAGCACAACTATAATGGGTCCAGAAATCGCAGACATCACACTGGACCATATCATCTACGAGGTCATGGCCTTCACAAAGCGTACAGTTTCGATCGTTGTTCTGTTCTTCGCTCAACGGTGGTGTTGATCCCTCTGACATTTTGAGATTATGTATATCCGATGTTGTTCTTCAAGAATGTTCGGATTAATGAAAGTAACTTCCTCAGAGCAGTCCAGCTTGAAACTGAAAAACGGTTTTATTATAAGCATTAAGATTGATTGAGACTTTATATTAGTTTAATCCGAACATGGATATATTTTTAAGTGCGCAAACTTTATTTTCTATGGATCACCTTCTTAAGTTTAAGGTTCACTGATGAATGTGTTATGGATCAATTGCAATATGATTATGGGTAATTCGTACAATTTCAATGCTCATTCTTTCGAAATTTAGCGGTACATTTTTGCAATTGTGTTGCTAAATTTTACATAAAATATGGATCATATTGATATTTTTTATGGATCATTCACACTTTTTTTAAGGATTTTCTCCGATGATTTATGGATCATTTGGATGTTTTTTATGGAACGTTTTCCAATATTTTATGGATCATTTATTGGTTTTTATATTCAAAAGTATGTTTGCCGTTGAGATACTATGTTTTCAAGAAAAACTTTTTCAAAGAGTTACGTCTGTTTGTCTGTGGTTTAGGTAACTATGAAATACAACTTAAGTGCTTGTGTACCTTGGCTGTAAAACTTATAGTTTTGACGGTAATTCAGCTCTTTTAGAATCAATTTGAGTGACATTGATCGGTGATAAGATTGCATACAAGTTGCAGTACTTATTTCAATCAGAGCACGCCGGACAGAATCTCACGACGAATGACATACAAACCAACAGCTCACATCAGCTTAAAATGCGCGCCAAATGCTCTTTGGCTGTGTTCCATTTGGAGAATTTTCACTTCTATTCGACCGATGAAATTTCTTCAAATAAACGTGCTACTAGACTTATTTCTAACAGAAGAGGAATAAATTTTGACAAACACCTTTTCGAAAATCGGAAGACCAACAACAGAGGGATTTTCGAACATTATAATTTATTTTCGAAGTGTCAAATTTAAGTGAAAATTCACCAAATGGAACACAGCTTTAACCTAGGTGATGCGAAGATGGACCCCAAAAGCAGATCAATTTAGAGCTGTCAAATCGAACCAATTTTTCTATCATACCGGTATGATGAACCGAATACAAGTATTGCAGTCCTTCAATATTAAACATAATCAAGCTCACCTTGAATCATTCTATTTATGACGATGATGTGGCGAAATTTAAGTCAACCAATGGCGACGAACCGATTATTTTTGAGTTGCAAACATTGAACAAAAAATCACTTCGCATCACCCAGCACTATAATAAAAAGTGATACTAAACAAACATTGAATAAAGGAAGTTGATATCTTGAGAAAAGTTGGTAGAATTTGCATTGACTACAACTTTGCTGAAAACATTAATAACTTTTAAGCGTGTTTGGATAATTTTAAATTACAGAAGGTGTGTGGATAGATGGTTCTAATAACTTCAAAAGAAAGCTTATTTAGAATCTACCAACTTCTCCGAATATAGCTTACACATCTCACGATTTTTGTAGCTTTGAACCACTGTGTAATGTGTTCAATGATAGACTCCTCATCAGTACTGAACGCCATTAGATTAATCAAATTATTTCAAATGTTTCATAAGAAGCAATGAATTTGCCCCCGAATTTCTGTATGTTTTACATTTCACATATTCAAAAAACCTGTAAAAACGCTTGAAGGTTAAATTAGAATAGGTTAATTTTTTACCATATTCTACCAACATTAATCAAGTGAGTTTCCTCTCCGGAAAGCTCTTTCTCTTTTATGCTTATTTTGCTCGCGGACTCACTCTCCCACCTATTTGCTCAAAACGCCTTGACCAAAACTCAGAGCTCTGATCTCTGGCTGAGCGACCGATGAGTCGATGACTAATCGATCGTCTGCTGCCTATATGTAAACATTCACGCTCTCTGAGCTATCTCAGCAGCTCTCTTGCGCTGAACCTGCCGGGCTGCACCCACCCCACTGCCATCTCATCCCATAATGATCATCAATACCCCATTCTCTACCAAATGTTCCAACCAACCAGGCAGGCAAGCGTAAAGTAATCATTTGCATCTTTACACATGTATGCACGTTCCTACCTACGACTACCTACAACACACCTTACAACACACTTTGGAGAATTGCTTGCTTTTCCATCATGAGTTTCAAACTAAACACCTTAGCTGACAGGCAGAGCAACGCCGCCACGATCGTGGATCAAGAACGCGGAGAATACTTCCCTGACCACAGCAACAGCAACAGCAACAGCAACAACATCGGTAACAACAACACTGGCTCGTTGACGTGTGCGAGTAGGCTAAATTTAGAACAGCGCTCAGTTCAAACGCGCAAATCGGCGTTTTTCCCTGGTTTGGAATTCGACGGCTTTACGGGGTGGATTACCTATTAAACTCCTAGAAGGTGATTGAGGTTGCGATTTGCGGTTGTGCTGCTTGAGTGCAGTTTTGGGTGCCTAGAATTGCGATGGAATCAATATCAATATCTTTTATTTTGATACTCATTCGTTCACTTTTTCATGTGAACATTTTTCAACACAAATGTTTTTTTTTTTGGTTGCAAGTGAAAAATTGCCAAAAAATGCTTTCCTTTGAAATGTATGTATGAGCCCAATTTTGGGAACACTAAAAGGCCACCCACATTAGATCCGTTTGCGTTGCGTTAACGTAAATTTGACAGTTAGACAATAGATTTAGCTGTCACTTTGCCGCAACGCGTCCGATCCGGATGAAACTTGAAGTGTGTGTGAAATATGTACTAATATCCAATAGAGATCTCCAAGCGCAATCTCACGAACACTTAAGTCCAACGTTCATATATAAAAATGAAGAAGAAGAAGAACCAAAAAGGTATCGCGATATCACAACTACTTAAAAAGGTAGCGCGCGGTCTCACGCACACTTTTGTGCATCTGGAGAACTCTATTGAGAGAGGTAATACATACATGCGGGGCTTATTGTTGCGTTGCGTTTGTAACGGAGTAATTCGCAGATTACATACTGGTAACTGTCATGCATAAACTTTAACGTTCATATTCTGATTGCTTAAGGAAAACTATTTGGGAGTGAATACCCGAATAAAAATTTACCATACAAAAACAATAGAACCTATTCTTACAATACAATAAAACCTTTTGTAGCAGAAATAAATGTTATTGTTAAAAACAATAAAAAACACAATAGAACTTCTTGTTATGTACAATCTAATCTATTGTTAATGGGACATTTACAATAGAAAAGAGGGGTTGTTAGTTACCGTCAGTGTTGGGAAAATATCAAAAAATCAAATCTCACTAATGCCCAAGATCACGCTTGATTTTCGTAGACAAAAATCAACAAATAAACAACTGCGGTTGATTTTGCAAGCTGTGATATCGCAGTTCAGAATATCAAGCTAACATAACTCACCAGCTGCAAATCTCACCAAACTGTGGTGAGATTGAGTTTAATGAGCTTTGCTTTACACCCGAACGCAACCGAAACTTTCATAACGGCTGCCAGCAGTCCCTTCGTGTCTGCCATTGGTGAAAAGTAAAAAGAGATGGCAAACTATACTGCCTCTTTCTAAGAAAACGATGTGCAACTGAATCATTTTTGTGTCGAGTCAACTCTCAGCTTGATTTTTGCCCGTTGTGAATAGTCTCGCAATATCAAAGGAGCTTGTAAAATCAATGTCAAGCATGATATTTTGTTCCAATATCACGCGTGATATTGAGAGCGTATGAGAGCGGAAAAATACATTTGATTGATGATTTTGTCAACACTGGTTACCGTAACCATAAAATAAATCAAATTTTTCCCGAACAAATTTGGTCTTATTACAATAAATTTTATTGTTTTGTTTTTTGATTGTGAAAAACTTGGATTTCATATAATTTGTTGTAAACCTATTGTGGTGACTATTTGATTATTTGACCAATACAATAGCATTACAATAAGATTGATTGTCAACAATAGAATCTATCGTATTTTATTGATGTTTTATTGTTATTTAATGGTTATTTTTATACGTTCTCCAATCCAAGTTTAGAACAGGAACAGCATGACAATTACCATTGCCAGCCACACCCATCTTCTCCGCTACTGGGGAAAGGAAAGATATTGTTGATGTAACATCTACTTAACGAGAGGCCAGCGACTCACCGACGCCCCCATAGACGCTACGGAGTTGGATAGTTGGGTAGGAGATGGGTCATGATTCGCTTAAGCAGGCCATGGCAACTGTTTTATTTTGGAGGAGCCTGGGAGTAAACCCATGGTCTTTCACTCAGTAAGCAAAAGCGGCAGCCACCAAGCTAGCCGAGCGCCACAATTTAAATATTTGGGCCTTATTTTGTGAAGTTAATATAATACTAATACTAGTACTGATTGAAATATAATGTAAACAAATAAAAGTTAAGAGTCTCATCCGAATCAAATGATTCCAAATGCTCATAGAAATTATGTTTAAATATATAAAAGTAGAAAAAAGGAACAAGCTCACCAAATCAGTCGAAGTGAATCCTTTGCAAGCAGCTCTATCACGTTTGGTGTAGTAGTTCCTCTGGTTTAATATAGTCGATTGCTCGCCTTGACGCGAACACGAAGCGACCGTGCATAAAATCATACAACGCATTAATAAACTGAAGTTAAAAACTATCACTCGCGATGCCACAAAATTCTGGACCGGGAGCACAAGCGAAATCTAATTACAAACAGGGTTGCTTCTACTCACTTGCTATAAGAAAAATATTTTTCGGAATTATGCAATCATTAGATGTTATAATGATATGTTGTACATGTAAGTAACAAGAAGATGCTGTAAGGTATGTGTTTGATTTATAAAACCTGTCAATTTCGCTTTCAGAGCGTCACAATCAGCGATCTTATGATTCGTGAGCGTTCACTAAGAGAGAGTGCTCACGAGTCGTAAAATCGCTGATTGTGACGCACTGAAAGCAATATTGACAGATATTATGTGTCAAACATATACTGCATGACCTCTTCTTGTAACTTACAAGTACTAATTAGCATTATACTATTTCATGATTTCATAATTCCGAAAAACATTTTTTTTTATAACTAGTGAGTGGAAGTAACCCTGATTACAACTTCACAAAAGTCGAGAAAAAAACTACATACATACGGGGCTTATTGTAAGTGAAAGTAACCTCGGAATGGGCGTGACTCTCCAGACATTCTGAAATGGGCTGCTGGATCTGACCTTCTAACTACCGGACTAAAGCTGCCTACAATGACCATAAATGCGGCATTGTAGAGAGAGTTCTTCCATAATAACACTGCCAATCAGTAGGGGTTAGAGGGAATACACATACATACATACATACATACATACATACATACATACATACATACATACATACATACATCTGATTATCGGTAATAGGCCTAAAAAAGATATTATTTTTGCGTGGTGAAACATATCTCCTAGAATCCAATCTATCTATCTATCTATAAATATCTATCTATAATTCTATATATATATAAATGAATTTCTGTCTGTCTGTCTGTCTGTCTGTCTGTCTGTCTGTCTGTCTGTCTGTCTGACCCATATAGACTCGGAAACTACTGAACCGATTGGCGTGAAAATTTGTATACAGGGGTTTTTGGGGCCGTGGAAGGTTCTTATGATGGTTCGAGACGCCTCCCACTTCTGTAAGGGGAGGCTCCCATACAAATGAAACAGAAATTTCTGCATAACTCGAGAACTAATCAAGCAAATGGAACCAAATTAGGCATGTGGGGGCGAGTGTGGGGGTATAAGGAGATAATCATAGGGGATAGTCCCTTAGATAATAGAGGAGGGGGCTACGTACAATATAGCATGCTTTTTTTTTAAATCGGCGCATAAACTCAAGCTAATATTGAATCCCGAGCAAGACCGGGCACACTCAGCTAGTACCTGTATAAAGAGAGAGCAAGATTAGCAATTTACATTTAATTCCACTACCTTATTTGCTTATCCTTGACAGATACGTGTATTTCTTCTACAATGTGCAGACTTCTTCAGTGTCTTGTACCAATACTCGACTATTACTACAAGACACTGAAAAAGTCTGCATATTGTAGACGAAATACGCGTATCTGCCAATCAAGGATAAGCAAATAAGGTAGTGGAATTAAAAAGAAATTACTAATATTTCTCTCTCTCTTTATATCTCCTAGATCCTCAGACATTTTTTCGTATTGGTCAGTAGATATATAACAGAAATTCAATTTTTTTTTATGGTTTTGGGGTTGTAATGGTACTTCCATATTCTTGGGCAAGACTTGTTTGGGTTTCAATGTTGTAAATAAAGTGAAGGCAATGTGTATACTCTTGTACGTTTCTTCAAATATCGTATATATCTCGTGGAGAGACATCATCATCAGAAGACGCTTCTGAACTCGTTCTTTTTGGCCATTTCGGAGTTCAGGCATTGGCTTGCTTATATTATTGCTATTAAAAAAAATCTATAACAGTTTTGTAATGTCCAGGATGTGGCCCTACCTTGTGTTTTGTGGCGATCAGCAAATTTAGATATTGGACGTCTCAGGGCACCCGAATAAACACATTTTAAACTTTGAATTGGTACTATTTTATTGCCTCCAAGCGGCTTCTTGCCTTGGTCGGAGGTGAAATGTAAACTTTATAACATACATACAATTGCTTCTCTTAAATACTCTAGGACAATCAAATGACTTACAAATAAGGGCCCATGCATTAATTTTGTCACGCTAAATCGAGCAAATAATTACCTCTATCGTGACGTTTTTCTTATACCTAATGCATTGCTTGTCACAAAATCTTAGCCCCCCTCCCCCCTTAGAGCGTGACATAATATATGCATCAACCCTAAATCCCAACATTAGAAAATAACAAGGCAACACAATTTTATGGACCATTAACAATGCAGCCTACACAAACAAATATGAAGCGGGGACAACTTCGCCTGTGTTTTGAAAGGCCTTTTGATTCGCCTTCTCACTCACAGAAAGAGATGATTCGCAAACAATACAAATCACAACATACCGGCCCCTTAAAACAAATATTTTTATTTAACTCTCCAAAATAATGCAGCTGAAGCTGCATATAGAAGTAAATTTTCAGCGTTTTAACGAAATTATTGCGTCTTCCAGTTAAGCTGATCTTGGGTGTGCGTTGTTTCAGTGATGATAATGAAAGTTGAATTATCGATCGCAAGGTGGTACCTGAATCCGATGTTGATTTTCGACGAAGCAGCTGTCCGATCCGATTCAATAGAAGGATCAGGGGGTAAGTCACTCTGCCACCTTGTGACTGTGCTGATAGTGTT